CAGAGTGTTTTCGCTTTGTTTTTTGATAAATGATCTGCCCCCGAACTGTAATTAACTGTCAGATTTTCTAACCATGATCTGAATTTTAGTGTAAAATTATACTATGGCACCAAGTAAATGAAATAATTGTGTTTATAATCCTTTGTTCGCATAAAAATAGTTTTCCTCTGTCCAAGTAATAGCCCTCTAGCGGTATTTGGATGTATTACTCGCTGCAAAGTTAAAGGACAGAAAATTAATGTTTTTACATATTTTTACTGCTATTTCTAACCCATATAAGATTATGTATTACATTTAACTCAACGAGCGATTAGAAGAAAATAAACTTTAACCCACACATAATTTGTTTTACGCCAAATTTATTTAACATCATATTCAAGAACAAATATGATAAATATACAGACTGTCACTCTCAAACATCTAATTGTTAAAAAAATAAAGGAAATAAGTAAAAATAGTGATAAGCCTTAAATTGTTATTTGTTAAAAGCGCAGGCAACTAGCACTAATTAGTGCACTCAAACTCGCTTGTTATTACTGTGAGTGTATTGTAAGTTTCTTGGTCTGGAAAGTTGAATATAAAATTGAATCTTTTTCATTTAACCTTGAAACGGAAAGTTGAAATTGAATATCTTAAGATTTAACTATATTTAAAATAAAGCAAAGCTAAAGACTGTTTATCTGTAAAGTATAATATTAATACGGATACTTAATGATAGGCCTAACTCACCAAATATAATACTAACTTACGCCGTTATTGCCTTTTAATTTTATATTACTTATTAATAATATTAAAAATAATAGTGTTAGGCTGATACTGCTTTATTACTATTACTCAGTATTTGTATTACAGACAGTACTTTTGACGTACTTTGACATTCAGAAAGTTTATGATAAAGTGACACATCAGACTTATTAAACTTAAAGAGACTTCTTACCTTCACTTCGGAAGACTACATCTGTTAATTAATAATAACAGTGTTATGACACGCGATAGGCTAGTTAAATGTATTGAAACTCAAGGTGGTTGTGTGTAGAAGGCAGAAGGTTGTTTCAAATAACATAACATAAAATGTAAGCTGTCTCATCAACTAAATTAAACTTAAATCTTCAAACAGTCAAACCCTGTATCATTAAAATATTTATCAAGCATTTCCTTAAATTTACTGCATTTACCACATCTAAAAGCAACCCATTCCCAGAAACCTCCCTGCTAGAAAATTGTTTTAACCCAAGATGAGGCCTACCTTGCCCAAATTTATATTTGTATCCCTATCCTTATCATTAAGTATATATATAAAAAAAGATGATACATTGACACTATACATTCCCTTCGCAATCTTAAACAATCAGATCCCTTCTAGCTCCTCTTATTTATAAAGAAACTTTCAGAGATCTTAACTTGGCTTTGTATGACAATGTTTGAAATGTGCTTCCCCAAATTGCCTAATGTTCTTTATATGAGCAGAAATAATAAGTTTGATTATTTAACTCTTCTTAATGAACAAGTAATTTGGGGAAATTTAACTTTACGGTTTCACGTTCAACATAAAAGGGCGTTAGTGACTTGGCATAAATCTATCATACGATTGCATTGATCATGAGGTGCCATCCTCAGTTTTAGTTTGTTTCACAGACACCCCCCCCCCCCAATAAAAGAATAGACTATTCCAAGCTTTTACTTGTTGTTAAATAAATGTTTAAACAACTATTCAATTACGTATCAGCTACCTAGTGTCGACTAACAATACGAAGAATTAAATTGTGGTGGAATGCTACAAGTTCACTGGCTTACAGAGATCGAAACAGTATTTGTGGTTACAACAGTGTTCAAGTATTATGTAATACATAGAATTACAACAATGATTAGGTATTGTGTAATACATAGAATTACAACACTGGTTAGGTATTATGTAATACATAGAATTACAACAATGGTTAGGTATTATGTAATACATAGAATTACAACAATGTTGAAGTATTATGTAATACATAAAATTACAACAGTGTTGAAGTGTTATGTAATACATAAAATTACAACAATGGTTAGGTATGACGTAATACATAGAATTACAACAGTGTTGGGCATTATGTAATACATAGAATTACAACAGTGTTGGGGCATTATGTAATACAAAGAATTATAACAATGGTTAGGTATTATGTAATGCATAGAATTACAACAATGTTGAAGTATTATGTAATACATAGAATTACAACAGTGTTGAGGTGTCATGTAATACATAAAATTACGACAATGGTTAAGTATTACGTAATACATAAAATTACAACAGTGTTG